GTCAAATTCACACAATATATATCGAGTGTTCGGAGTCTAGCGGCGCTAAAGCTATGCAGTCCGTGTGCAATGCTAGACTCATCCAAGTAGAGTCACACTCCTTCAGCCTAGGTCTAAACTGATAGCCTAGTAGGCTGAGTTGACCGCGGATAAGCAAGTCCAAAAGGTTTGCGCAAATCTGACTATTCAAGGCCAATTATCGAACCTTTTCATTACGGAGGTTGTCTCAATAAGTCATTTGGGTGTGACGCTGTAACCCACGTGCATTTAACCGCCAAGCGCTGACTACCGGTTATTGACGTCTCCCACGAGATTGCGCACACAAAATGCCCGGATCTCAACAATCCTCCACATACTAATGACTTTTGCAGTTCCTATCTCGCGCTTGAACTTCTTAAACTTCCCCGGTGCTAAAGCCTTGGTCATGATGTCCGCCTTCATGTTCTCCGTCCTGCAGTGCAAACGCGACCTTCTTGGGTGCAAAGTGATGAATCACGTCAATCTCCTTCGACCGCTGTGAAGGCGATTGGGTGCTTTAGGAGCCGTATCGCCCCTTGGTTGTTGAGTGGGACTACACCGTTCCAAGGTCCAACTCAAGATCTCCCCCGAGCTTGCGGGATCACAGCGCCTCCTTCACCGCTTGTGCTGCGCTCATAAGTTCCGCCTCTACCGTCGAAGCCGCCACCGTTGGCTTCAGCCTGCTCGACCAGCTCACCGCCTCCCCGTACACGAGAAGACGTATCCCGTTGTGGACCGTTCTGTGTTCACGTCACCCGCGCACTCCGCGTCACAATAAGCGATGAGAGTCTTTCCGCTCCCCCAAAGGTCACCCCGTCCTCTGCCGTATCCGCAAGGTAGCGCACAACTCCAAGCGCCGCCCGCAACTCCGTGCTCCTGCATCGGCCATATAGCGCGCAAGCGCGCCCATTGCCTATGCAATATCGGGCCTAGTGCACGTGGGTGCTGCATGTAGATCTCCTCCTCTAGCTCCTTATTGAGGAACGCCGTCTTGACGTGCAGCTGATGCAGTTTCAAGTCGCACTATGCGACCACCGCCAATAGCGCATGCAAGTCGTGTGCTTGCTCCCTACTGGGCGTCCCGCTTTATCTTGTGAATCCACTTAATGGGAACCGGCTTCACCCCTTCCGGTTTACAACGAGCTCCCAATTCCCGTTCTGCAACAAAGACCGCATTTCCTCGTCCATTGACTTCCGCCATAGTTCACTCTCTTCTTCCCCCCCGGCTTTCTGAAAGGTATGCGGTTCTCGGTGCTCCCCGTCCCTTTGGGGTGCTCCCCC